TGTGATGCTGGCGTCACTTCCAAGGTGCCGATAAGGGGTGCACCAATCAGCCCCCCAGGAGATGATGCTCACTGGAGTTCCGTCGACTGTTCACTCTCTTCCAATCCAAAGGGTTCCGTCTTTTCCTTCACGTCGCGTCCGACACTGCTCTTTTGGCCCCGGCCCCGACCAGACCCGTCATAGTCATCATGATCACAATCACGATCCGTTGTTTCGTGCTTACTGCGGCGTGTGCGGCACTGCACGGGGCTGATTCTTCGCGCCTGCCACTCCCCGTTGCCCACGCCGACACCCTCCATTGCTATCTGAAATGGGCCTGCACGCTTTGGGCCGTGCTGGACCTCAATGCGGTGCTGAATCGCTGGGCTGAGAACAGGTGGCTATGGCGCGACGACACTGGCGCATGGGACTGGGAGAAGGAGATTGCCGTGGTTACTGGGGGCGCCCAGGGCATTGGCGCCTGCGTGGTCAAGAACCTTCTCTCCCACGGCATAAGCTGCGCCGTCTTGGACGTCGCACCCTTGTCCGCCAACTATACCAAACGTGTGCCTTCCCTCTCCTCCTCTTTCGGACCGTCTCTAGCACCGCACACTAACCGCTCCCAGACGAGCTCAACCTCGTTCGATACTACAAATGCGACATCACCTCACCCCACGATTTGCACAGTGCCGCCGAGGCCATCCGCTCAGACTTGGGCCACACTTCCATCTTGATCAACAATGCTGGCATTGGAAACGCTTACACCATCCTCGACATACCCCTCGAAAACTTGAAGAAGATATTCGACATCAATCTACTCAGTCATTGGAGTACAGTAAAAGAGTTTCTACCTGACATGCTAGCCAAGAAGAAAGGCCACATCATGAGCGTTGCAAGTCTGGCTTCTTTTGTCTCACTCGCTGCTGCAGTAGACTACAGCTGCACTAAAGCGGCACTGCTTGCTTTCCATGAAGGCCTCGGCCAGGAATTGAAGCACAGATACAAGTGTCCGCAGATCAAGACCACCATTGTCCATCCCAGCTGGACCAAGTCCGCCATAACTGCGCATCCAGCAATACAGGCCGGCCTTGAGAGCATCGGCGTGAAGCTCCTCGAAGCCGAACATGTGGCCGAAGCAATGGGTAGACAGATCATTGCGGCGAGGAGTGGCCAACTCATTCTCGGTCCACGCATCTCCCCGAAGATACGCGCTCTGCCCACCTGGCTACAGGAGGTCATTCGAGATAGTCAGGCTAATGTAGTCAGCGGGAGCGGCTCAACAGGTTAGCATTGTTTTTCTCTGTAATCGATTCCGCCAGCATGCACTTCGCCGCAGAACCATGGCTCGTGTTAAATCAATCTGGGGCGGAGCAATGGCGCTGAGCAGACATGCAGAGACGCTCGTGAAGCACCCCGGGGCCGGCCGCATCGGCAGTGGGAATACCCGCTGAGGTGCCGCTGATGGCCAAGGTTCATGCGCCGTCTTGTACACCTACATCCGCCTTGAGAAAAGGCACAGTCGTCGATTTCACTTTGCGAGCAATCATCGCGAACATCGAGAAGCTTCAATGCGCCGTCATGCAGAGTGACGCTGTCTGGCAGATGAACAGTGGCTAGCTTCTTACATGACCCGACGGTTTCCATCGTTGCGTATGGGAAAGCAGAAAACCACAGTGCGACTTTAGGCCCTCGCAGAAATCGGGGCTAAATTTGGCTGACAGGCAGATATTCTCGGACATGCGTGAGGACTCAGCCCCAAAGCCCGCCGCAGGTGTGGTGCAGTCGCATAGGTTGTGAGCTAGACCTAAATTGGCCCGTGAGCTAGTCCTATGTTGGAACCACCAACACTACGCCTTCGGCCTTTGCACAGGATCAACGCCCGTTGTTAAGTACTTCCCGCCGTTGCTTCTGTTTCACTTTGATTCTCGTTGCTTTGTTTGGTCACGCATACACCTCGTCATTCGTTTCACCTAGCGATTATGCCATGTCGTTCAAAATCATTGGGTTCGCGTGCTTCGTGACTTCGTTGATAGTGAGCGGTGGTGCGGTTTCCAATAGCCAAGGTACAATTTTCAAGGCCGTCAATCTAACGATTCCTACTGACTCTCCTAGCTGAAGAACTGTCTGCTCGAGACAAAATCCCGGAGACCATCGCGTCTCTTTCACCAAAGCGACAGGAACAGCCATGGCGAAATGATACTAGATCAGCATCTTCGTCTGCTCCAACATGGATACCACGTACCAGACCTTTTGAAGTCCACTCCTCATCTGGACATCATCTTGCGACACCAGCAGCTGTGACGAGCAACAGTGCAGCTTCAGTATCGACTTCAACACAAAGCTCACCCTTGAGCTCAGTGGCTCATCTTGTATATCCGAACAGCCATCTGAGTATGAGCGAAGCTGCAAATACCTGGAGCGACACATCCTTCATTACAAGCTCTCTATCGTTGCCTATTCTGATATCTGAGCATGCTCTCTCGACCTCAACCAAACCCGTTCCTTCCGAGCAACATGCCTCAGTCACTCGAAGCACTATGCCCATTTCCTCTAAGACTATATCGGTGCATTTTCCACAACTCACAGTTATTCCCTCATCTTACTCATCGGATCTCATGGAGCAAACGATGTTCCCTATTGCGTCAGCATCAACACTTGCACAAGAGCTCTCATCGCAACGAACAACGAGCCGGCTTTCTACGTATTCGATGCCTAGATTCATGCCACCCCATACACCTGTCCTCCCGGCATCACCAGGAAGCGCGTCATGGTCCAAAAGTCTACACCTTACGTCAGCCCTCAGTTCTACTGCTATTCCGGCCCACCCTACGCCTCAAACCTCTTATCATCTGCCAAATTCCGCTGATGGTGTGACACCGTCGCAGAGTGGCTTTGTCACAACATTGGCTGTCAACACCTCAAATTTGTTAGCGACTTCATCTGTGAGACAAGTAGATTACTCCGTATCGCTGTCAACTACACCGGCGCTTGTTACATATATGACAACACCCTTAACTTCAATCGGCGGGCTGCCTGTGGGATCAAGTACCTCCGCCCCTCTCAGGGATACTTCGAAAGTGGTGCAGCCTGTCAATACTCTAACACAGGAAATCTCATCTGCTACTGTAGCCAGCGATACGCCACCATACCTTTCCCCCTCTGTCGTAGCTTCTTCGGGTACATACCGATCGACAACGCCCTTCAACAAGACAAATCCTACGTCAGTAGGCAACGATCCTACTCCTTCGGTGCCAGTTCCGACTGTAAGCTCCATCTTCACATTTGTGCTAAGCACAAGCTCGATTGATGGACCAGTATTGTTGCTTGGCCCAAGCTCCTCATGGCACAACAACACCACGTCAGTAACTGTCACTTCATCTGATATGACACTGCAACAGTGCGTCAGATAGTCCTACAGCACATGGTGGCTGGAACACTACGTTTACCATCATCCCATCCGAATCTGCAACGCCCCTCAGTGGTGCAGAAGTACCAACGGGACAGCAAGCCAGCTTTAACAGCACGGTGCTGTATGCTTCGAATACCTCTCGCGCCTCAAATTGGAAAACTTCCACACTTCCCACGCCCACACTCAACAGCACCAACTCTGATGGCGCTACTTCAATAACGATTCTTCTCGCTCCAATGACGAGCTCAACTGTGCCAACAATATCGACTACACATGTCAACACGTCCGTGACAGGGCCAATAAAAACGGTTACTGTAGCTCTCCCACCGCCCAGCTCTACTACGAATAGCGCAACTTCAGATCCTCCAACATCGCCTCCCTTGACAGTCTCGCAGAAAGCAGGCGTTGCTATAGCAAGCACAACTGGTCTTCTCATTGCTGTGGTCGCAGCCATTTATCTCGCTCGACGATATAGAATGAACAAATCGAGGCGCTCAAGTCTAGGGAGTATCTACCCCAAAGAGGCCTACTTGTACGATCCTCCCGCGGGTGGAAGTGACCACAACGGGGATGTAGAGGATGTTCTGATGTCGGGTGGGTCCAGCGGCATGCCGCCGATGGTCTGGAACGATTTCCGGGCATCGACTGCCGCCGTTGAGTACGGTCGCGCTTCTAGCAGGAATCTGCTACCCCAGCGATTTAGTAATCCAGGAAACCCTTTCCGAGATCCAGGTGATGCTTCACAATATTCCGTTGAATACAATCAAAGCCGTATTCAAACACCCACAGAGACGGAAGCTGCATTTGCAGCCGCCATCAAAAGGATACAGAGGCACATCACAGGGGCTCTTCTGTTACCGGTAATCCGGGCCACTAGACACGCGAGAAAAAATTCTTGTCCGTCAGCAGCCCTGGAATCTTTTAGCCACAATGAGCCAAAATCTGTCAGCAGACGCAGCGTACTAAGTGAGATTACTTCAATGGCGTACACAACTACTGCGCGCTCTCCACCCCATGCCCCGCTTCTCCAATCAGGAGTACATCAAGGATTTCACGGCCAATCATAGTCTTCCCCGTGTACGGGAGACAATGTACACGGATTCCTGCAGGGATCCTTTTGAGCATGATTTGCTTCTAAAGGTCGACACTTTTACAGAAACGCCCGATTTTGCGACTGTCTATGCTCCTTCTACCGGCTCGAGCTTGTTGATACCGGCGACCGCACCGATTCGAGCGCAATCGAGAAATCCTTGGGCATCTTCGATGATAAGCACGTGTCTGGCAGATCCTATCACACCACTCAATAAACGGTTCGAACCATCAAGTCCAATATCGCCCGATGCCACTATAGTCGCATCAGAATGCTTTTCACCAATCTTCGGTCACCGCTCGTCATCCACGTGCTTCACGCCTTTTCAAAAGCAAGACGAAGTTACCACTTCTCCCATTTCGCCTTCGTGTGGAGCTGTCCATATAGGCTGGGACGAAATCAAGCGATACTCCGCAGAAAAAGTTGTGCCCTCCGTCGCTAGTCTTAGCCCTCCGTTAGGGTACTGTAGTCCAATTCAGACCAAGAAGAAGTCGCTGCCCCAGCTACGGCGCAAGGATCCGATACTCACTGGCTTAGGAGAAGTTCGACAATCACGCTCACATCTCTCGTTAGCACCATAGATCTCTTTGGTGCAAAATTAGACGCCCAGCATATCTACGCAGAGGGCCTGTAATACTTCTAATACATGTAATAAATACTGTTGACTATCTTTTTATACCACATTCCAACTGGCTACTATCCGAACCACCTAATAGTGCTGGATGTGCTGTCTTTGAAATGTGTATCGTGCAAAATGACAACAACCGAAAGCGAAAATTTAAGACAGATGATGCTAGGCTTGTTGTATAGCGCTAAAGGCACCGCGCTCGACACACCCCCACGAAATGCCAGAGCCGAACGGCGTCAAGTAAGCTTTGATTGCAGGCGAGGCGCCGATACTCGTCAATTGTTCTCAAAGCTATATCCGACCCTCGCGAACCGCTAGTGCGAACGATCCCGCAGCTCCTGGACCAACATCACCGTAGCTATGGTGAAGTACACTGACTCTTGTGCCTTGACGCGGGATCTTCACTGGTTTCCTTCCCCTTTTTCTGCACCATCTCGGTGGGAGAGAAGAAGATGTAAATAAAGGAGGCTCGTGAGCGCGACTACGGCCTAATCCCATTACGAGAAGAGGTGAAGGTTCTCAATCAAAGCTATGCACCCTGTTGGTAAAAAAAATTCCTTACGCAGCGCTTCAATAGGATTACTAAATCCATAGGCCGGCACAAAGAGCCTTGTCTACGAGGCATCGCGATCGCGCGTGAGGAATGCGCTGACAACGGTATAAGAATGCACAACTGCGGTAATAGTGCTGGCTGAATAAGTGAGGCAACGATATTTTTTATTATTCCTTCATGTATGATAATAGTGATACGTCTGAGCTATTCTCGAAGCAGTATTGATGCAAGACCGAGGTGAAACAGTAGGACTCTGACAGGTGCTATATAGAAGAGCGCAATTCATCCATGGTATACATTATTACTCCTACCGCGCCCTATCTACGCTGGAGCAAATATAAGCAGTGGCTGGAGCAAGATTACCACCGTCGAAACCAGCACTGCCGCAGCCTCGTGCCTAAGAACTGATGCATCGTGTAAACAGGCCTTATTGCGATAAATAAGATACAGATACAGTTGTAACATAATAGCGGCACTGTAGACGTTAAAAAGCACCATCTCTTAAGCTGGGTACCTTAAGAACTAGGAGTGGGTGCTAGAACGACGGGATTCGATAAGTACCCGAAGATTAGCGCATGCAACACTATAGTTTACGTCGAAGAGCGATAGCCTTAGGCTAGAGGTGAACGAATTGCTGAGGACGTTATAAAATGCCGAAAGGAGCGAGAGTTGAGCGTCTAGTAGGGCGATGTTCGTACAAGAGGAGCGTAGGGGTCGTCCGCTAGGAAAGCGAAGGGTGCTTGTAACTCTATCTAGGCGGTCGAATATGCTATTAAAGAAAGCATGGCCCTAGAGACACTACATACGTACGGCAATTAGATGCAGGAATTGCTTTCTTTAGGTTTGGAGCATATTGTGTGGTGCAAGATTGCTTAAGTTAGGTTGGGGGAGGTAGATACTATTGACTACCTATGTTATTGACTATCGTGAACAAGTCCTACGTTAAGGGCTATCACTGGCCTTAATATGAGCATGGATACTCTTGATTTTTCTAGCTGAGAGGTTGCTCTTCTGGGATAATCGGGTGGTACAGCGTTGAGAGAGCGCGGAACGGGTACGTGTGCTGCTTTCGTAGCAAGGGACGGAGCTGAACGGCTACTTATTTCCTATTCGTCCCTTCTTGACCCTACGACTTCTGACTCTCGAGCGGGCTTAAAAGTGAGCGAACGCGGCTAAGATCATAGCTTAAATAATTCTGCCCTAGATCTAGCAGCTAATGCTTGCAGTAAGCGACACTGTTGCTATCTTGGTGAGTATAGCCTGAATCGGAATTTGGGCTACTTATAGAGAGCTTCTGTATCCTTTCATTATGCTTACCTGTTATTGTTATCAATTGCAACGGAAGATTGCGCTTTATGGTGGAAGAGAGCTATTCCTCCTTTAAAGTTATTATCGTTGGTGCTAGCGTTATGGAGCTGACACTAGCATATTGCTTCGCTAAAGATAACATCGACTTTGTCTTGCTAGATAAGGGCGTTGTAGCACTAAGTTTTGGAACTACGATTACTTTGCAGCTATATGAGTGTTGAGTCCTGCACTAGCTAGGCTGTCTAGATGCTATTTTAGCTCTATGCGATGTTAAGAGTAGTGCACGCTGTTGTAATTTCTCTAGTAAGAGCTTCGCATCTAACGACTTCTTTAGAGTAATAAAATAGTTAAATATATTTGCTTTTATCTCTGCTTTCTATATTATGTTTGCTTAGGCAGTAACTAAGAAGCACATATTCTAACATTAATACTAAAGTGCTAGTTATAATATAGAGATACTTAATTGCTAAGTTTTCTTACGTATACTATATAAAAAGCTACTAGATTAGTCTTATATATACGAATAAGCGTAGATTAAGAAGATATTTAAAGAGAATAAAAAAGCTTATATTATTCTATAAGATAGGTAGAAATTTATTAGCGATATTATAGTTAGCGCAGATAGTATCTACTCTAAAGTTTATAAGATTAAGTATAATAGAGCTAATATAGTAAAACCTAGCATAATTATAGTCTAAGAGAACGTAGTAAGTATTTAAGATTAATTAACTATTAAATTAAAATCTAGTTACTAATATATCTTTCTAAAAGCTATAGTTACGTAGTATAACGCTATTATAATAGCTTACTCTCTAGTATCTAATCTTAGC